TCCGCGGATTACCACAAAGCCGAAACAAGTCGAGCTAAGCTCAAACACCTACTGTAGAATGTTCGAGGTTTGTGCTAGTGAATTACATAGAACTTGCTTGGACAATCGCCGAGGGCAGGCGGGCGCCGGAAAATACGCGTTGCTGACATTTCGCATTCCGCTCGCAAATTCCAGGAGAATGTTCAGCGAGTTTTTAAGAGACCGCTTGTTAGATCTTTTTTCGCTCTTTATTGCACATATATTGCTGAATCTCTGAGGAATCGAGAACTCAGCAAGCGGCGTCCCGAAAAGTCCCGATTGCTTCCTAAAAAATCCGCGAGCAGGGTGCGGAAAATCAGTCACCTATTTTTCCGGTGCCCGCCTGCCCCCAGCGATTGTCTAAGTGGATGAAAAAGCGTCTTCGGAGATGAGGTTAATGAGGTCGGGCGCAACCCCTCAAAAGGTCAGACCGCCTGAGCTTTTGTAGCCTTGGCCTTGACCCACTTAACTTGTCTTCAAAATTCAGAAATCAGTCCATTCCTGGTATAAGTATTGAGCTCATGGCCTCTTTTTGCCTCAGTGAAAATTTGGAGCAAAACATTCCATCCCTGGAGAAATTCTGGCTAGTTCAACAGGGCGATTCACATCAAGGTGCAATCACAGAAAAGCGATCAATCCCTAAAATTCAAAAACTCTGCAGGACAAACTCGTGTTCTCCAGGGTGTCACACTGTGAGGTTCCGGAGGTGGAGAGGATCAAGAGGGGGTCGTTTGGAGACAAGATTATAGAAGTAGAACCTAAATCGAATCGTTACCGTCGAAGCAAGCCGTAAAGTTAAATGCGCGCCTCCGCAATTACACACTGCACCATACTTCACGCTTAAAACCACACTTTCATGAACAGTTTGTTCCCGCAATCAACATGAGATGCTGAAACTGAGATTTAAAATTTCCAAAATTTAGGTTCAGTAAAGAAAATGATTGTGACGAGAAAATTGGGATTTAGATGTTTCCGAAGAGTTACAAACAAATTTTGAAAATCAGAATGCAACGGTTAGAACTAGAGAGCCTGTTTTTCAAAATTATGTGTGATACTAGAATTTATCATTTACTTCATCCAAAATCAATAGTTATTTTGCTCAAAAGATCATGAAACTGGGTTTTCAAACAAAATTCGAATCTAAAGTTCAATGGAGTAATTCCCTTTGCCACTAAACTGGTATTTAAAGGCAGCGTCCAGGCAGTCTGGACACATGGGGGACCTCACGTGGATAGTAATTTTGGTGCCCTAACTAAGCCACTGCCCAACCAGCAGCTCAGGTAGTGGTCTAACGGCTGAGATACTCCCCTCGAAACTGGGCCCCGCGATCGTATTTCGCATAGATTCATGGCGCAAAGCGTGGATCCTGGCGCGAAAATGCCATGAATCCATGCGGATACGATCGCGGGGTCCAGTTTCGAAGGGAATATCTCAGCCGTTAGAGCAATACCTGCGCTGGCGCTTGGGCAGCGCCTTAGTTAGGGCCCCAAAAGTACTTTCCACGTAAAATCCCCATAGGTCCAGATCTGCCTGGACGCTCTCTTTAAGCAGTTTCAATATAATCTAGACAGTAATTCTATTCAATACGGAAAATGTCGGAAACATAATTGCGAATGTGAGTTCATCAGTGACTCTCCCTCGGGCATTTTCAACGATTGACCATTTGCTTTAGGCAGGACAGCCGCAACCATACCTATAGAGGTTGTTACCTGAACGCTGTTGTGGAGCCATCAGTTATCACGCCAAGACTTTCGCATATGTCTTATCTATTAGGGCTCAATTTCTTCTGTTACAAGCTGCGACATTTTCCCACATTTTTCTCAATACATCTGGTGATCTGATTATGCAGATAAATCAGTGATGCTTTGAGTTTGTACGAATAGAGTAGCAGTTCTGCTATGACTTGATTTTACCATAATTTATTATTCAGATCACAATTCTTCATTGTAGAAAGTTGGTCGAACTTGGACTTTTGGATCCATATTCTGAAACTTATTTCAAAACCCAGTTTCATGATTTTTTGAGCAAAATAACTATTGATTTTGGATAGAGCAGCTTCGGAAACATCTAAATCCCAATTTTCTCGTCAATTCAATCATTTTCTTTACTGAACCTAAATTTTGGAAATTTTAAATCTCAGTTTCAGCATCTCATGTTGATTGCGGGAACAAACTGTTCAGGAAAGTGGGTTTTAAGCGTGAAATATGGTGCAGTGTGTAATTGCGGAGGCGCGCATTTAACTTTACGGCTTGCTTCGTTACGGTAACGATTCGATTTAGGTTTTACCTCTATAATCTTGTAGTTTGGAGGCTTTCTTGGAAGGGGGGGGGGGGGTCGTTTCTCAAAGATGTGTGCCTGACCTTTTGTTCAACTCTGAAGACAATCATTCACTATGCGCACAATTCCAAGGCTAACAGCAAGCAAGCTCTGGGTCCTGGCACGCACTAAAGGTTGAGTAGATTCAAATGGCGCCGAGAAGTAGTCCTCAACCCGATCGGATAGTCTCTACCCGATCGCACTGCATACATGGGCGGCGGGAAGGCACATCGCTCGCTGATATTCAGTACGCGCCGCCTGCGAGCACCACTGTCTGAGGGGCCCGTCATAAACGCCTCGCCGAGAAAAACCCAAAAGCCCTCAAAAAAGCCCGAAAAAGTCCAAAAAGCCGAAAGCGCCCGAAAGCGCCAGAAAGAGCCGGAATGCAGAAACGAACTTTTGGTTTAATTCTCACATTATTTTGGCGTGTAGACGACAGAAAATGAACCAAAAACTCGGTTGCGAAATCGCGCCATAGCGCCAAAACGTGCGCGGAAGAGGGCGTTCCGGCTTTTTCTGGCGCTTTTGGGCTTTTTTGAGCGCTTTTGGGCTTTTTTCGGCGAAGTAAGACTGGTCGCTGAGGACGCGGACAGCTGGCTGCGATGCATCGCGGCAAGGCGTTGTCGCCCTCGCGGATTCTATCGCCCACTCTGCTGCTACCGGCCCTCTCTCTTTTGCACAATGTTGCGCAACGAATATGTGTGCATTCTCGCGTTCGCGCTGTCCGCAATATTGCGTGATTTCGCAATCGCACGTGTTTCAGTGACGACATAAAGCTAGGCGGCGGCTGGTTCTGCAGACAGTCGTCGAGCTTGAGGTACGTGGACTTTTCCTCAATCTAGATGCGTAATTTCATGGATGTGCGTGAGAAAGTGTGAGGAACTATCTCCAGAGATAGAGGCGAAGAATTACCTAAATTGTGAAAGTTGAAGGCTTGTAAGCTTTTGTCAAAATATTGCGTTCTTCGTGGCCACCACGTTTTAGTTGCCCTGTTTACGCTTTTATCTTGATTTGTATTACTACCCTTTACCGCTTAGAATAAAGAAGGTGATATACGGATGTTTTTTGAAAATGATTTCTCAATGGTTTCGCTTTTTTTCCAACGCCGAAGTAGCCGCGGTTTTGGGTGCATAGTTCATCCATTTTGGTTCATTTGGTTCATCCATTTGTTCAATGGTTAATATCTGCTATTCCAATACACCCCGTAAATTTACACCATTTTGCCGAGCAATTCACACAAAATGTACAATTAGGTTGGTGGTTGGTTAATGAATAATTTCATTTTGAGCGAATACGACAATTTGAATAGTGATTTAATGCTAATTGACAATTTCAGCATCAGTAGAAACTTTTCTTCGAACAACCTTGACCACCTAGTGCTCCCAAAATTATCTTTCCCACACAGCCCCCTATCTTTCCCACAGACAAACTGCTGACAGCCATAACCAGGGTTGAGCATGGGGTCAGGCGCGCCCGACCTGGGAGATCGTACTGGGGTAAGACAGAGGGGGGGGGGTCGTGATTAGGAATCGAATTCGTTCGATTGAGGAGATACTACGACTAAGGTGAAGAAGAAAAGCGCTATTTTAGTGGATATCGCGACCTCACCAGTACTGAAGGAATGAACGGTCTTAAACAGCAAACTGATTGATTCCACAATCGAAGTTTCGGCCAAAACTCAAATCTTCATCTTCTACCTTGACATATTATAAATTCATCAAGGAAGCTTGCTGTGTGAAATGGGTATCATTTCCGAGCACGTGAAATTACCTCTATGAGCCCTACAAACCATTATTTACTGCATTATCTAGTGTTTCTCAACGACTAAAAAGCGTGAATTCCAAACATGATTAACTTGTTTTCAAAAGTGAGAAAAGTCAATTTTTTTGTACTCGTAACAAAGTATTGTTCCCTACTAGTCTAGGCTAAAAATCGCGCTTTGTATCGCTTGCAAATAGTGGAGTAAGAAATTATGCCAAAATTTCGACCGGCGCGTTTTTCGCCATGACTGCTTCAACTCCACGGATTACCACAAGGCCGAAACAAGTCGAATCAAGTCCAAACACTTACTGTGGAATCTTCGAGGGTTGTGCTAGCGATTCACATAAAACTTGAATAAAAAAGCTTCTTCAATGATAAAGTTAATCGGGTCAGGCGCAACCCCCACAAAAGGTCAGGCCGCCTGAGCTTTTGAGGGCTTGCGCCTGACCCGATTAACTTGTTTTCAAAATCTAAAAATCGCTCCATTTCTGCTATGAGTATTGAACTCAAAGCTTCTTCTTGCAATACTGCAAATTTGGAGCCAAACAATACACCCCTGTGGGAATTATAGCTCTAAAAGTAGGGCTATCCAAAATCCAAAACTTGCCGTCAAGTTGCGTGTGCTGTGCAATCGCAGAAAGTCGACCTACAGACCTCCAAAAAACAAGAACCTTTCAAAAACGGCTGATCTCTTCGAATTATCACAGCCTGAGGTCCTGGAGGTGAAGCAGAGGGGTCGTTTAGGGGCTTTCACTGGGGGGGGGGGGGTCGTTTTGGAAAGACTTGTGCCTGACCTCTTGCTCAATCCTGGCCATAACTGTCAGCAGTTTGTCTGTAGCATTTCAAACTGTCAGAAACGACCGAATTTATTCACTGGTCAACTTAGTACTTACCACTTCTACGGACTTCGCTGTAAGCATTCACGTGACCTACAGAATCGTCTGCCATCGCCGAGTATGCATCCATAAATCTGCTTTTCAAGTTGCATTAACATCAGTAAATCCACATGATTCTTCGCTCAATCCACCGCATCCTTTAATTTCGACCCTCTTCAACTTGCGACAGCCATCTTTGCAATACCCCTTATGAGCGTTAGACATTCACTGCCAACTGCACTTGGGACTTTGAACATTCTGCAGGATTCGCAGCACGTACCGTGGTTGGCGTGTGCGTCATCGCCGAGTTTCGAAAGTCGGGGCGGGGGAAGGGGCCGGCCCCCGCCGATCAATTCGTGTCATTGCTGCCGCTGCGTGTTTGCTGCTCGTGTGCTACTCTCGCCCCTGTTCGTTTCGTTGCATAAAAATTTTCCCATTTTCTGCATAAGTCATGCTGTGTGACTTTTTCAGATCAGAGTGTGAAGGATCAATTCCACTGATCAGAGCCGACTGTGCAAGAGATATCGACAATCCCGAAGCCGTTGTGTTCTACTCGCCAGAGTACGAGGAGAGCCTCCTGATGAAGTACCTGGGTGAGTCCCCTGCTGGTGAGAGTGTGGATGAGTGTAGCGCGGACTTCGCCAACTACGATCCGCTTGTCTCCGACTCGTGCATGATGCCCAGCTATGGAAACATCGATCCCACACATTCGCCTGTTTCTCTGAATGGAGCTGCTCTATTCTATGATGAATTGGCCGATGGCACAGTTACGCCAAAACTAGAGGAATACGAAGAAAAAGAGGAGAAGCCTCTCCACAATTCCGTGCGCTACGATCCGATCCAGAAGCAGTCTCGACGAGGCCGCCCCATGAAGGTTACCAGCACATCCAAGATGGCCAATTATGCAAGGAATTATCGTGAGCAGAAGAAGATGCAGCTTGCCACTTATGAAGCACAGGTCAAGCAGCTAACTGAAGAAAACGAACATCTTCGAGCCGAGAATAAGCGATTGACTGAAGGATTTGAACGACTTAGTAGGCAGGTAGAAAGTCTTCGTAGGATCATAGAAAATAGTCCATCTCCTTCTCATGATCCGTTGCGAACACCTTTTGGGTCTCCGCCTATGCGGCAAAAGAGTATCGGTGACGAATTGTTCGATTTTAATGATTTCATCACATTTCCGTAGTAGAGTTGTTTAGTCTTATCTGTTAATCATTGACACACGTGTATCAATTGTTTATTTGTGATTATGTTGTCATGCTTATAACTGACATAAATGTGAGTGGTACTTGCTTTTATATCTCTATAATTCTTGATCATGTCATGTTTAGAAAATTTTATGGAGAATAATCGGTCCGGTATGGGTTAGCACGCGTTAGTCCGCGAGGTCGGCGTTCGAGCCCTGGGATGTAGCGTTTCCATGGTTGGTATTCGTTGCTTTGTCCACTTCAGATCTGCCACTCAGAAATTTGGAGCCATCTTCGACCTGTAACTTGTTCAGAAAATTTGAAAACATAAGGCACTCACGAGAAAGCAGCCACAAATACCATCGTATGGGCAGCTTTCCTTAACCGCCAGCAATGATGGCTGACCAACAGCATCGGTCCTGCCTGAGTGGAGCGGTATAGCGCTGTTAAGGTGAGGCTTCGTTTTTCATGTTCAGTTTTGATGGTCCATTAGCTTGTTTCAGAAATAGCTTATTCTAGATTGAGCGGTTCTTTGGCTTAGTGGGCCCTCTGTGCCACGCGGGGCATCCGTGTGTCAGCCGTACGATCGTATCGTTGTCGGTGCATAGAGTTCCCTTCGTCTTCAAGTTCATGTCGGCAAGGTCGATGGCATTTGTCTCTCGTGCAAACTGGTTCCTGAAGCATGACATCATCATTGTTCAGTACACTGCGAATAAATTGTCTACTAATCTGTATTGTTGCTTATGCTCATTCCGACGTGCATACGTCCGTCACCGTATCTTATTTATTTTATTTTAGTGTATATCTGAGGAGAACTGTAGAACTAAGGGTTAGGAGCGTCTAGCGAGAAGAGAGTTTCAAGGAGTCTGTCCATCCCCCAGATTACGATTAGTTTATTCGATTTTATGATGCACTTCGATTTATTGGTTTCAGCTCGTAATTTTCTCATGGTCTCCTTTGGTGGCGATCTATACGAGAATGATTCAGCAAGCCCTTATTACGCATTGTTACGACTTAGAAGAAGGTCGCTAGCAGATGAAGTGGGTTCATTTTACGTCTCTTCCTGGTTTTATTTGAGCTGATGAATTATGTCCCTATGCCAAGTGTTTGCACTATTCTCACATTGGGTTTAATTCATCAGAACTCGTTGACTAAAGAGGCGTAAAATTCCATTGCATATATCCTCCATGGCACGCGCCATATTTGACCTCTTGATCCACTTGGTCCGCCTCGTGCAAATTCACAGCGAATTGCGCAACCATACGAAATACCTTTTCACCTACGCGGCACCAAATGACAAACTAGTGAGCGCGCGTTTTGCACGAAGCGGTTCAAGAGGATCGAATATGGCGCGTGCCTATCACGATCTCATTGTCATTTCTCAAAACGATCGGTCGCTTCGGCTCTTTCACAGCGTTGCGGACGCATCTCTTGTCGTGGCGCCGACTTCCAGCTTTCTTATTGTTGCTACGACGCCAAACGATGCGTCCGAGGCAGCTGGACTAATCCATTTCTTGTTGAGCAGTGACATAGGGAAAGGATGGGTGCAATCGAGTAGATTTTCCGCTCATTATAGAGTGCTTGCACAGAAGGTGAATTGCGATAAAATTTGCGCGTGAGCAAATAGCTTCGACTGCCGGCCAATTGCGCGCGCCAAATGCCAGCAGTACTGACGTGGCTATTTAGGCACCCGCCATACTTACCCCTCTTGATCCGCTTGATCCGCTTAATCCGCTTGATCTGCTTGATCCGCTTGATCCGTTTGCTCCGCTTCTTGCAGGACGCGTGTAAAACGCGCGCACTCAGCAGTCTGTCATTTGGCGCCGCGTAGGTGAAAAGTAATCTCGTATGGTTGAGCAAATTCGCTGTACGTGACGCCAAATGACAGACTGCTGAGTGCGCGTGTTTTACACGCGTCCTGCAAGAAGCGGATCAAGCGGATCAAGCAGATCAAGCGGATTAAGCGGATCAAGCGGATCAAGAGGGGTAAGTATGGCGGTGCCTTATTAACGCGCAAATTTCACCGCGTTTCACCTTCTGTGCAAGCACACCATATTGAACGGAAAATCTACTCGACTGTAGGTGCCACACTTTTCCGATTCAATCGATTCATTTTGTTCGCCCCATTCGCTATCGGTCAGTTCAGTGATTTGATCAATAGCGAATGTGTGAACCGCTATTGATTGATCAAATCACTGAACTGTGAATTCATGAATCGGTTGAACCGGTTAAGACTGGCACCTACCATAGCTGCAGCTGCTTACAACGGGGTGGTTCGGTTTTTTGCGATTTCGTGTAGTTGTCATGTGAGCAGGATGCTTGAGCGTGGACCTTAACACCTAAGTCCAAACAGCATTTTGGCTTGCACAGTATGAACGTCTAGCAGTCTTAATCTTCATAAATCTCAAGACTGAATTGGACGGATTCCTTGAAACGGTTTGCTTGCTCCTTTGTGTCACAGGTCTAAGTGTGGGTTTAGGCTTAATAATAATGAGCACCCATCACTTACAAATGCGTGGTTGTAATGTGGCTTCACGAATTGAAATGAAAAAATGACGACGTGTTGTGATGTCCACTTCATGGTACGAGGACATCATTTCCGCGTTTCGGGGACAGATTAGATCTTTACGAACCAACTCTCACTATGTATGTAATAGTGGCAATGAGCGCTGAGAGCTCCGATAGCGATTCAATGGTGCAAGAACTTCGAAGTGATCATTCGAGCAGCTGTACTCCTTCCACATCTGGTGCTTCCTCTCCTTGTCATTCGGTTTCTCGTAGACGAAAAGACAAAATGAGAAAACAGGCATCTCGCAGCCGTTATCTACTTGCTATTGAAGACAGGAATAGGCTGCGAAAACTAGCTGGTAAGTTCGTAGGAATTGTTTCCCAAGCAGTTGTTTGGTGGGAATTTCACTTCAACTATTTTAGCTCGAAAAGTAAGGATTGCATCAAATACGATCTCAGCAACAACGTTTCTGCGTTGGAAGGAGAAGGTAGTTTCGGCAGTCAAGCGTAATCTTGGCTCTCGCATTTCATTGCACAACGATTTAGATTGACCGTAAATTTGAAAAACAGTTTGAGAAGAACCGAGGTAACCTCAAGAGGTTGCAGCAAGAGAACGAAATGCTCCGTGCTCACCGACGGACTTTTATCGAAGGCGTTAGTTTTGGTCTATTCAACTTCTTCAAAGCAAGGTAGCAGGACAACGAAGTTTTAGTGCAACGCTCTAAAAAGTTGTGCTGTGATGCTGCAAATGAGGTTGGAGCAACAATTAGATTCTTCTCCGGAGTTCGATTATTCTTCATCACATGACTTCTTCTTCCCACACAGTTGAGCATCCGTCTTTTGTTTTGTGTCTCTCGAGGGTTGGTAACTGGTGAGGATAAGCTGTCGAGGTAGTCTTGGTGGTTTGTGGTGGAAGAGTGAGTGTGAATTTGCAAAAAATTACCCTAAAGTCAAAAGTCATCAAAAATGCAAACGTGATCTCCTTACACGCGGTATAAAAAACTACAAAGCACTGAGTTAAATCGTCAATCGGTCTTTCATGCTGCTGCCTTCTGCATGTAAATTTCTTGCTATTTTCGGTACTTGAGTACATAGTTCATGCATAGTTTTCCTCTTTGAATAAATCTTGTTTCAAATGTGTTGAAATAGGTTTTCAGTGAATGGTTCAGGAAAGAAGCATAGTATGAGTGATGCTTTTATTTACAGCTGTTCTTTACATATGATGATTGACATGCGAAGTAGTAAGGAGTCATAAAATGTTAAATTCTGGCGAGGCACTTTCAGTGAAGTAAATATGGACTATTTGAGCTAAGTCGTATATATAATATTGGTGTCTTGAAAAAGTTCCAAGTTGTGATCAGATTTTGTGAGTGCTGTATGCCAGTTCTATCATATAGTGTTGAGGTCCACCAGATGTCTCAGTGTTGGACGTCCATGGGGGCAATTCTAAGTATTATATACATCCAATTATTAAGTAATGATGTCCCAACTTACCCATGGCTGATCGAGCGTCCCAAGATGGTTTACTATCTGGAAAGTATTTGTTTAGACATATTCGCACAAGCAATGATTACCGTTTTCATTTGAGTCGTTGTAAGTGCGGTACCGATCATCACCGACTTTCGGCACGCTCTTGATGCAAAGATGCGGCGAAGTTTTGCTGGGCGGTACATGACTCCCGGAAATTCAGACACTACAGTGAGGATTTCTTCTATGTCTGCAATCGGTAGGACTAAGATATGTCGAAATTTCTCAATCTTATGTGAAAGGCACACCACTTCTGTCGAATTGCCAGCTGTGCAGAACCGGTGCAGATACTAGTAAAGCAGAACTACATCCGTCTTCTGAATATTAAATTAGAAAATTCTAAGGGTTATTTAGGCTTCCTTACCTTTCTCACGAAATTCAAAGCCAAATCCATTAGCTTCTAGAATATCCAGGTTGTCTCTTAGCACTGATTCTTGCACAGCGCCAAAATCGAGTAATTTGGGACTACAAGGATCAATTAGCTATGCATTATGACGCTTTTTACTGTAACAAACTGTAGAAGCTTTTGGGATTCCACTCGAGCTTTCTTCTGAAAACGCTCGAAATTGTACTTTTCGTCGCTAGCATGCTGATCAACGAGGAATAGGTGGTCCCTCAGCCGTGTAATAATGAAACCTTTGTTGAACTGTCCAATCACCGCCATCTGAGCGAAGTCGGTCTTCCTAGATAAGTGATTGCTTATCAAGGATTACACAAATAAAGCTTACTTGAGAACGCGACCAAGTTCTTCCTCGGCTAAGGCATTTTCCTCGGGCGAAAGCGAAGCAGCAAATTCCAGAGTTTGACTAGAAAGTGTTTGATTTGTCAGTGTCAACAACATTAATTTTAGTTCAACCTCGGCTGTTCTTCCTTCGCCTTTCCAGTTCTCAAATTGTTTAGGCGCTCTTTTAGTGCTGACATAGTGAAGGGCACCTTGATTTTTCGAATAATTGAAGCTTCGTCATAGTATGAACAATGGACAAACAAACCAATTGCTGTGTTCTCATAAACGTGGGTGACTGCTCTACACATTGTGATAGTGTTATAGTGCCTTCCAAGATAGGCTAGAAAAAGAAAGTTGGATGAAATATGGTAATCAATAATAACAATGAGAAGGCCACCTCTCTCTCTGTCGAGGTTGTACCACTCGTTGAAGGTTCTTCCTCGTCCATGGTCTTCTCCATCTTTTCCATAAACACGCTGTCCTTCTCAATAACAGCTTCGAATCCTCGAGATAAGTTTCTTGTTAAAGATGGCCCGAACTCTCCCCGTCGATGATGCGTTATTGTGAAGTTACTGTCTAAAGAACATCCAAAACTTAGTTGTGCTCAAATTTCGTTAAAGGCAGCGTCCAGGCAAATTTGAAGCTAAGGAGAGTTTACGTGTGAGTAATTTTGGGGCCCTGACTAAGGCACTGCTCAAGCGGCAGCGCAGGTGACTCACTAACGACTGAGATATACGCCTCAAACAGGACCCCAAGATAGGTATTTCGCATAAAGTCATGGCGCAACCCATCAATTTTGCGCGAGGACCCACGCGAAATTGTTTTTATATTTTCTTTTAAGTGCGCCATGAATCCATGCGAAATACGATCGTCCAGTTTCGTGGGGACTATCTCAGCCGTTAAAGCACTAAACCTGTGCTGCCGATTGGGCAGTGGCTTAGTTAGGGCCCCAAAATTACTATCCACGTTATGAGATCTTCATATGTCCAGCTTTGCCTGGACGTTGCCTTTAATGCCTTACCGGCTTTCTTGGGTGTACGCTCTTTAGTAAGTTTCGCGTCGGAGGAAGTACTAGCAAGAGAAGCATCCATTTCAACGGCATCTGCAGCCGCATTACCTCTTGAAGAAGGCCTATTATTCGTCTTACTGGTTAGTGGCGTGTTAATTCTCTCAGCTAAAGCGTCACGAGAGATAGGTTTGAAAGCGAATGCGTCCAAAGTCTTCAGACCACTTGACAAAATCTGTAACTTTGGTTGATCAGGCAATGCATTCTCCTGCTACATCAACTGCCATACTTTTTTGAGATTGTGATCTTCTGTCCTGCTCTTCTTCGGTTGAGGAGGAGCGTACGAAGGTGAAGTAGCTTTTGCTGAGTTAGACTTGAGAAGAGAAAATAGAGCAGAGTTAGCGGATGATGGAGTATCTGATTTGGAGATTGATGCATGTTCCACACTGACATTCTCGTTATCTAAATACGCTTTACCAATCTACAGTATATTTTTTGGGGAAACATACTTTTGTTGGCTATTCTGTCAACAACTGACGTATAGGATCCCAAAAGTGGATGAAATGTTGCCAGGAAGGAGGAGCGGATTAGTGCCAACAGTTCCTTTTCTCTTTGAAAAAATATCATTCTTTTGTCTGGTGTGACATTGACATCAATTTCAGCTGAAACATATCCACGTCTTCTCAGTATTACCACGTGTGTCTTTATTCAAGCGGAGTATCAAAGAAGTGCCAAAGGCGGTGTGAGGGTTGTCGCATGTCACGTTGGGTATTCCCTATTACGTCCCATCTTCAACGTTCCAGCGATTCTCATTCGAACGCGCACAAGCTCGTATTGACATCGTCGATTCGTTAACTGCGTTAATTGGACATCACTGCGCAGAAAACGCCGCGAGGTAAATTTATACAGGGTCGCTTCTTAGCACAAATCCGCTACTGTACAAATTGTGCTTTCGCAACAATACAGCCGCGCCGCGGCGCGTAGTACGCAGCGTTTGAGCAGTTCGTGCGGTCAACGGATCCACGTTAGTCACGGATGTTTATGGCTCAGAAAATTACTTCAGATCGCATATCGCCGATTCGTTGACCGCACGGAATGCCCAAACTATCGCACGGACTGCTCAAACTCTGCGGACCACGCGCAGCGCGGCTGAATTGTGGCGAGAGTACGGGATCGGCCATACTATTCCTGCTATTCCTACGACTCCTGCGATTCCTGCGAGTCCTGTGAGTCCCGCACAGTTTAGACGCCGCTTAAATGAGCGCTGTTGCGTAAAACAACACGTACAGGGCTCCTAAATTGCAGAGTCGTTTGCACCAGCGGTCGCGCGACCGCGTCGCGCCCGGGCATTTTGCCGGCGCCGGCGCCATCGATCGAGGTGGCGCCATTGATGCCCGGGCGCGACGCGGTCGCGCGACCGCTGGTGCAAACGACTCTGCAGTTTAGAAGCCCTGTAACACGCAATACGCGCTCATTTAAGCGGCGTATAAACTGTGCGGGACTCACAGGACTCGCAGGAATCGCAGGAGTCGTAGGAATAGCAGGAATAGTATGGCCGATCCTTACGACTTGTACAATGACGAATTTGTACTGGGGCAACCGTTCTATTCGCGACGCGTCCTTCGCAGTGATGTCCAGTCCGTGCGGTCAACGAATCAACTATACCTAGTCAGTTTCGAATGAACATAAGATTAATGATCTTTGCAAAACCAACTTTAGCCACTCCAATTCCGCGCGTGTAGTTACTTCGATTAAGAAATGAATTGGCCTCTTCAAAATTATATTACCATTGCGACAGTGCGACAAGAAAAAAAACAAAACCAAAAGAGCTTCCAACAGCACTTGCGGCGTCAAATGATCATGCGCATACAAAATATAAATCATATCCAACCTGCAGGTACGGTGATGTACAATACGAGTGTGGGATACTGAGATCGATTATATTGCTGGTAAACTTCGTTGATAACTCGACAAATCTGGAATGGACTTTCCGTTGCGAAGTTCCATTTCTCTAGTCCTCCTATGAAATGTTCACAACACCAAAACCGTTGTTCCACTGACCTTGGAATAATCCACAGGTCTTTGGTTAACGTATATAAATTGTCGGTCAGTTGAGCTTCGCCCATAGCCATGCTCGCAAGAACTAACAAAACCAGTGAACCTAAATGGATAGGTCTTTTATATTTGAAAACATATTCCAGGTGCTTCTCACTCGATATCTACATAAGCTGAAGTGTTTTTAGGATCGACGCCGTGCATAAGCGCGACATCTTCCGTTGGAACACAGCGAACAACGTCGACCATCTTATTCTTATCGGCTCGACCTCCGAATAAGTTGATCACAACCTTCAACCAATGTGTATAACTTCTAATTGATATGAAAAATTACAATTCAGTTACCTCTCGTACGCCGACCTTTCCCGGAGTGCAAATGGGTTGAGACTTCTTTCTGTAAGTGGATAATGCAGAACTGTAAAGCTGTGAATATACTTACCCCGCAATGACGTTGCTGCATATGAACTTGACCTCTGGTCGAGACAGGGCAAAACATTGAATAGCAGTCAGCACCCTGCCAAAGTCCCTCTTTGCCGTTTTCTCAAATTCTTTTCTCCTTACGGGAAGTGTCTTAAACAGATTTTCTATAACCACAGTAGTTCCGACCTGAATTTGCATGTTTGCATATGGAAGAGATAAATAAAATGTGAAGGTTACCGATCGAGCAACAGATGACTGATCTACTATTCTCCCGCAATGATCGAAGCGGAGTTTAGTGCCAAGGGTAGCAGATCGAGATCGCGTGATGATTGTGAGTGAACTTCAAACAGACAAAAAATTTTCGCGTAATTCATTTGGTATGCTTATATCTATAGGTACTGCATGTATCCAACCTACTGACAATTTCTCCTCCCCCTCCCCACCCTCCTTACAGGCTTTGGTCGTAAGCACCTCCAATTCTCTGCTAATTTGCTAACAAAAATTATCCTATGTTATCACAAATTTTGTAAAGAGTCGTGACGCCAATTTAAAAAAAAAACATCATCAGAAAGCAAGAAATCGCGGTGTGGCGAAGCGCGCAAATGCAAATCTAGCAGTCTTTAATTACTGGTTCACTAGTTTCCACATAGTGGCAAGCTTCTTTTCAAGATGACGGATGTACCTTCATCCATATTTGCAGTACAATTAACACATAAGGTCGGAAAATTCAAAGTTTGATTTGGTCAAATATTCCAAAGACCATTGGTTGATTTGATGTGCAGGGCGAAGCGCGCAGTGACACAAAGATCCACGCGCAGATGAGATACACTCTTTTATCTACTACGATTTGCTTTTTTTTTCTCTACTTAATGCATATCATCTGAGTGATCGTGTAATAAGAATCAAGCATAAACCTAGTATCTTACATCTAGCTGCAGACCAAATAGAACAAATTAACCTTCATCTTTTGATTAAAAGGTAAGTGAGGGTCATTTGAACTTACGCGATAGCACACAGTGCATTCAAGGCCTCTCCGCGAAAACCAAGGGTTGACAGTGTGCTGAAATCATCGATACCAGTCAGTTTGGATGTTGAATGTGGCCTGCCTGGAAAGACATGCTGTTGTGACAACTGGAAGCTCAACTTGTTTCGAAATGATGATGTTCACAGGGTAGGGTACCATGCAATATATGTTGAGAAAAGGCTCTCATTATCACCACCATCTTGTTTGGTTACCGCCGAATTAATCGACTGCACCGAGGATTTGCAAAACCCATAGATTCAACAAGCACATTATTCTCACCACGAAAATTCTGCTATGCTTTCAGTCTCCGTTTATCCAAGAAACGAGATGTTAGTAGGTAATTCAATTAGGGGACAAGATTTATGAACATGCAGAAAGAAACGTGTATTTCGAAGCTCAGTTGTGGCATGTCTCATATTGCGAAGCTGAACTCAAAAAACAGCAGGGCAAGTGGATGCGACGAAAGAAAAGACGGATTTGGAAAAAGACGTATTTTTTGCAACAAGATTAGGGAATAGGAGCGTGCTATGTATACAAGAGAGACATTATCACTCTACAGCTTGTATTAGAGTATCATACAGTAGCTGGTTCAAACACCTAGATCCGCATCGTGCATTGTAATGTAGCGATATTTGTCAAAATCATTGGAACGCTACTGATAGTCATAAAAGGGTGGTGATCCATCAGTAAGATATAGGTATCTCTCAAAGAGTTTCCACTGGGAAAGAGGCTGGAGTCATGGGATTGGTTGTGTGTGTGAATGTGCCAAAGACTTTGTCGACCACTGCCCGCGATTCACATCAGCACCGGGCAACTAACGATACCAGAATAGACATGACAAACGCTTTACGCGCATTCGTTTTCTAGCGGATGAAAGAAAAGTAAGGTAACAAATTACAGATTAATTCTAATTTTTGGAGCACAGCAACAGCTGATAAAGCATTCTCAGTTGCGATTCCTCTGCAAAATCAACTGAGGCTGCTTTCCATTTCCTCCTATCTTTCTAAACTATTAGGGTGATCCAAAAGTAAGGGGGCTTCTAGAAAATAAATGCAGCTATTTCAAATAGAAAACCTAATTGGAAGTCCAAGTTTTGGCAGATGTCAGTACATAACAAAACTTTCTTACCGAGGTCTGCAAATTAGCACTGTCACATGGCGTTGTTTTTATAAGCGCTTAAAATCAAAGATCATCACTTCAAGTAAATTTGAACATTTAGCAGCACTGCCGGAGTAAGACGAGTAGCCTACCAAAAGATATCGGGGCAGTAGTGGGTGAAAGGATCGCCATCGAGTTTAAGTTAGCCTGGTGGTTTCAACGCATTAAAGCAAAATATATAGCATTGGGTATTGAGAGACATATTATTTACTTCATCAAGCTAATCAAATGAGCCCACCTTGACAGTTCTTATCTGAGAAAGTTTTTTTACTTAAATTACCTTAACTTTTCTCATTTTTAGAAAACTGTGTGTCAAAACATGATTTTTAACCTGCAAATTTGCGCCAAACATCGCACTTTTTCGAATAAAGTGCTTCTTTCAAAAATAATGGAGAATTTTTGTACATTCAAATAATCATTAGAAAGAGCTGAGAAAGCTCTTTCTATTGATGCGTCAAATACCTAGGGACTTTGGAGTATAACAGCACAAATCCAGATGGCGTTCAAAAAGTCTGTCTGACTTCTTCGAAGCGCCGCTTGAAGGATTGTGGGTGAGGTGCTGCAAGGTGCGGTCAGGATGACTGCGAAAGTCACTTTATACAAGCGTTCAAATTGCTGGTTGTTCATGATTACAGGAAAAAAAACATTAAGAAATGTTCAGAAAGTTGGGGTGCCCCATTACTCTTGGATCACCCCAACAGAATGAATTCGCGACTTGACAGCACAGGCTTACTTTCCTCCGCTCTGAAACCTTGTAGCGGCGATGGAATATGAGCAATGGATTAGCGCTTGATGCTAATCAGGACAGGCGCATTATGGAAGGAGCTCAGTTATGGTTTGCGCAGCATATGTTCAGTGATTAGTACTACAGGCGAAAAAAGACGGATTTTTTTTTTCGCATGGTAACAATGATAAGTAAAAAATGACATTTAAAAGATAATAATGATTATGATAACGTAATTCATAACTTATAATAACGGGCTAAGGGTTGTTTACGTTTTTTTGTGTGTGTGTCTGTCTGTCCGTTACGAAATTCGTAGGGAGAGTTCCAGCCAACCTCTTGAGCCCAGATTTTGCATAGCACATCCTAGCCGCAAGAAAGTCCATTGTGCAGAAACACAGGCGGATCCGATAAGTGGATCCCTTAGAAATTGCGCGCGAAACGGGTCCACTTAACTTCTGACCAGCAAAATTGGGTCCGTATTTAAAATTTTTGCAAAGTTGTGGATATGTTTGACAAGCTAGTGTACAAGCCATGGACTCTAGCCCAAAAAATTCAACTAAAGTTGGTTACTTTACGAAAACAGCGCCAAAAAGTAATAGTTGCGCAAATGTTCAATTTACCAAGATTTTACGTGATCATTTGAGAAGGTTTTTGCACAGAGATGTAGCCCACGATGATTATTGCAGTTATGGCGACTACCAAGCTATAAAAAGTCCACAAACCTATTCAAATTTGCATTTACCCTAATTTCCGGGGTATAAGGCGCACCTTGTATAAGGCGCACCCGCCGCAGCGAACAATGGCGCGAAAACGCTTTCTATATGATTGCTCTCTAAATCTAAAAAGCTGAAAACTCAGTGTTCTGTGGTTATTCTTTACAGCTCATAAATCTTGCCTCCAGGTATTTTTTTTTCTTTTCTCAGAATGTATACTTTGATATCGTTTTTACAGGTGGAAGGAAAGCGCTCATTGGTGTTTATGGTATTTAGATGTTCCTTCTTTTGCTTCCATTAATGTTATTGGTGGTGCTCATTTGTGCTTTCCTTCGTTTCCAATAATGCTACTGGTACTGAAACTGTGCTATCCTTTACAATAATACCAGTGATATTTCAAAGGTTTTTGTCCTATTTTTGAGATTCTTGAAGAATCAAAGAGAAAGTGGAGATGTTTTAAAACAAATCACTACTGAGAGGAAAACAGCAGAGAACGGGAGCAACAAGCTAGTGGTGGGTGAAAAAGAATGCTGCTTGTGCGGCGCCGCGCATCGCGAACGTCATCGTAAGTCAGTTCGCGCGCGGTAAAAGCTACTGCGCCTTATACCCCGGAAATTAGGGTATTTTTCTGAGAAAAGTTTCATCTACGTGAAGTTACCGATCTCGCACAAAAAGCTCTAGGAATGAGTAGCTGTTTACAAATCATTCGTGATAGCCTGCATAACTTGGTGAGTTTCACTGTCATCATTATTCGGGAACGAGTAAGGCATACAGAATGTAAGGCCAGTGCGAGCCTCTGCGAAGCAGAGGTGACGCACTGGTAATAATAATAATATGAATAATGGCAATATAATAATAAAAAAGGAAGACTCACAGAGTGATTCAAAGTTCTCCGCATCAATGCCAGTGCCATCGTCGATGACTTCTACGCTTTCATATCCGCTGTTTTTTGCGCGAATCTCTGCAATCTTCCTCTTCAAAGAACTCATTTCGCTGAGCACTTTACAATACGAAATAAAAAGCATGAGATTACCAATGCACTGGGCTGAAGCATCGAGTGAGTTGTCTATCAATTGACGAACAGCACTGCTAAGCGAAACAATAACCTAAAGAGAGTAGCTGTAAGCATTACATTTTTATGAGAGGAGCCATCTACCTGTGCAGTGCTTATACGTGACGACACATCATCTTCAATTCGGAACACTTCTTTTCTAGCTTGATTAGTTTCATTCATGGATAAGTAGGTAGTAACCAAATAATATATCCAGGGGTTAAATCATGTTGGATGGCGCGCCCTGCATTTTAGCGCAGTGGAGCACTAGATCCCCAGCGGAGCGAGCTTTGCAGGCGCTCCGCAAAAAAAAATTTCGGGAATGCTTCCCGAGTTTTCTCGGTCTGGTAGGTGCCAGAGTAAGCGAATATTTCGTTCAAGTTGGGGTCCCGCGCAGAACTGGCATCACTAATCATTGTGGCATAATGCCAACTTGGCGTTGTGCCACAATGATTAGTAACGCCAGTTCTGCGCGGGACCCCAACTTGAACAAAATATTCGCTTACTCTGGCACCTACCTCTACGTTCTTGAGAAAATTTTTCAAGACACAAATTTGAGTGCCGAAAAAAGATATTTCATGTATATATTAGGTCGTTCCATAAGTTCGCAGCGTTTTCATTCCCGTCTCAATTTTTCTGGAAGGCGGTTGTTTTGCGGCAAGATGCGCATATCGTTAGGAGCTAAACATGCTCCTTATGATGGACCTATCCATCTCGATGGAAAGCCGAGAAGTTGAGAGTGTTGTCCCCTGAACAAAAATTTTTGCAGGACGTGCGTGAAGTTCTGCTCTGAAAACTGCTAGATGGAAAGAAAAAGTCGATCATAGCGCAATCCAATTGCACCTTCTGGACGGATGCCTGTTGCAAAAATGATTCAAAAGGCAGGTCCAGTGTGTGTGACAAAATATGGCTCTTTGGGCAAACGTCGTCAAAACTGTCTTGCAAGGCTTGAATGGGAGACATATCAGTATTCCATGTACTCCTCAAACTTCGACCTACTAGATAATCATTTGTCTCCCTCTCTTCAAAACGTATGAACTGAGCTTGTTCCAATTATAAAGACGATCTTAGGCGCTGGTTAGGCGACTTATTGGGGTCAGAACTGCTGAGTTTTGGAAAACGAAGTTGAAAATCTGACGGGAGGATGGCAGAAGCACAACAGCGGAAAACACACAATCGACGAATTTTGATAGATTCCATTTCGTTGGTTTATGAGAACGCTACTAACTTTGAAACGACTTAATATTAGATTGGTTAATAGATAATTTTAGTCGGTTTTGAAGCTCCTACAGATGTTGCAGATAATTTTTTGTCTATTCAGTACCGCTGGAAAGATCACTTTAGTGAAAATTGGGACATTATATCTGTTCGAGTAGAACTTATTTTGCAACGAAAAAAACCCGCGAAGAAGTGGGAAACCCCAACTTTCTTATTGTGCGCAAATATGAGAAAATTTGGTTTTTTTTTGTCAAAGAATTTTGCAGCGGCACACAGTTTTTATTAACAGTGGCTAAGCAGGAAAAAATTGCCTGTATCCAAATACGAAATTGCAGTTCTCTACATCCATTAGAGCATGAATACGAAGCATCGAAAGTCGCAGAATTAAGCTTTTGGAATTTTATCATATTGGAACATAACTGTCCCTCACTAATGTAAAATTTTGAGTAGCTGATATGTGATAGGAAAAGCTTTGAACTACTTACCTAGTATAAATCATGAATCAAGAACAACTAGCCACTGTCAATAAAAACTGTGTGCCGCTGCAAAATTCTTTGACAAAAAAAACCAAATTTTCTCATATTTGGAAAGTTTCCATGAAGGTTTTCATGCCAAACCGAAATTATTTTTTAGCCAACCTAATATTTACGAGTGTAGAAAAGTCACTTTTTTGCAAATATTTGCCGCAGTGACGCAGCCCTTGGCTGAACTTGTGGATTTGTGAGTTAACGAAAGCGCAATATTACATATTAGGTTGAACCGAAAGTTCTGTCGCACCATTTTCAAAAAATCATAACTTCTTTCCCTCACGGTGATTTTGCTCAACTTAAATTTTTTCAGAAAGCGTAAGGCATGCGGTTTTCAATGGTTCCCCGATGACTTTACAACATGTTCAGATTGCAGAGATAAAAATGAAAGAACGAGATCATCCGAAATTCGGAAATTTTAAGCAACAATTCTAGAAATTCAGAAACAGTGCGATGAAATCCAGAAAAGCCATTATCCTAATTTTTCTTACATTTGATTACTATCTGAGTCAAGTTTGTGCTGATCGAGGCCTTCTTTCAGAAGTTATGAATTTTTGAAAAAAAAATGCCAAAAAACCCATTTCTTAAGAAATCTTAGGAAATTGATTTTTCGGCATTATTTTTCAAAAAATCATAACTTTTGAAAAAACGGCTCGATCAGCACAAACTTGACTCAGATAGTAATCAAATGTAAGAAAAATTAGGATAATGGCTTTTCTGGATTTTATCGCACTGTTTCTGAATTTTTAGAATTGTTGCTTAAAAATTCCGAATTTCGGATGATCTCGTTCTCTCATTTTTATCTCTGCAAACTGAGCATGTTGTAAAGTCATCGGCGAACCATTGAAAACCGCATGCTTTACGCTTTCAGAAAAAATTTTAACTGTGCAAAAGCGTCCTGAAGAAAAGAAGTTATGATTTTTTGAAAATGGTGCGACAGAACTTTCGGTTCAACCTAATACATCCGCCCAAAATTTCTTTTTAATCAATGATTTTCATGCAAGAAAAGATTTTCCGACAAGACTTGGTATGCAAAAGAGGTTATATTTGTCAGGATGTGGCCCTTGTGTAATCGTTGGTTGAATGCATCTTGCCCTTACACTCAGTCGCATATCTACAGGGCATTTGAAAAATCGTGAGATGGCGCAACCGCGCGTGACACGCACGCCACCTCCGGAAATCGCATTTTCTTGGTTTTCATCCCTATTCGAATGATTTTTTGCTTACGTATGATAATATTTAGGCACAGGAAGTGACTGAGCTGAACGTTGAGGTAATGCCTTCTTGTATGAGCGTTTTATTCCCGTGTGGGCGCAAAGTACGCAGTAAAATCCGTCGTCACAATTTTGAAAATAAACTTTATATAAGATTGTGCTAGCAACTGGCACCGCAGTCGCCTCTACTACGTGTAGCCTAGCTGCTTCCCTTTCCCTTCCCTTTTCTGTATCTTATGCGTAAAAAAAAATAGAAACCACTTCTATGTAAGACACCGCTACACACACATCAGATAAGAGCGTCAACCCTCATACATGACATACTACATGAAGAGTCTTTCGCAGCTTATATGGTTTAGAACAGCGGAAGATTCCAATAGCAAAATAACTTCCATTTGCTAGTGGCACAATCAACGAAAACAGTCGTAAAGAGGTTCTGATCCCTTTTGGGCAAGGTATTAATCTTTGAGCGGATAAAATAACATATTTTGAGTAGATTCAATGGGCACCTGTTTGATGCAGTCTTTCTACCCAACTCTACGTTTAAAAGGTTCGTCCCAATAGCAGTAAAGCTACCGAGCACCACATAACCATCGTACTGAAGCAAAACACTTATACATCGCAACGCTCCTCAAACATCCTAGCAATAAGCCGAGTTCTTGGTCTCGGCACAGTGGTGGGGGCGCGCGACGTCCGCTCTGCCAATTAAGTAGATTCGGATTGCGAATAAATCCGAAGAAGACTCATTTTAAAGGACGTACTTTGCAAAGATGCAGAAATGATGCGGGAAGGCACCCATGTTATGGAGACGTCTTCTTACATGTATCTCGGACGTTCCAAGAACATGGAGAATGACTTGAGGGAAGAACTCATCAGGAGAAGAAGAGCAGTACGGGCAGCGTTAGGGCCTCTGAAGGAAGCCACCGACCAACTGACACCCGGAGCTTCGTGACCTGCTCGAATCAACTGTTCTCTCGGCGCTCTGTTACGCAGCGCCAACATTGTAGCCGAGTCGAAAGTTCTACAGACCACTTACAGTGCTTGAGCGAGTCTTCTGAAGATGAGCGGACATAAACAACATCTTGTCGGACTTCACAGTATAGATTTAAGAAGAATATCCCATCCTTGTGACCCAGCGGAATACGTGGCGGAAGCGAAACATTGATGGGCCCATCATGAGAAGTACAGACGACATAGGACGCTGAAAACATTGGAGTGGATTCGCGAAGCCAAACGTCCTTGAGGAAGACCACCGACGAGATGGGCAGACGTGTTCGTGGAACGGATGGACAGGCTGGGAAATCAGGTGGATACGATTTTTGCACCTGGAACTCGCGGACGCAGCCACCGACGTCAACCAAGAAGATCGTGGATGCCTGAAGCGAGGGACGGGATCGATGGAAACTTTTGTGCTGAGGCCCGCACGCCACGTGAAGACGGGCCATCTAAGTATTTAAGTAAGTAAGTACAACGCTGTTCCTGCAAACCCGCCTGATATGCGCACCGACCCACCGCCGCGTTAAAGGCAGTGGATCGGCAAAACCCAACAACTCAGGATTTTAACGCCGTAGGTTCCTTATCGCCCAAGTATGAAAAGAGTGCAATCCCGGTTGCACAGCATGCTTTTCCTGCCGAGAAAATTGCTCTCAAACTTACAAGCGCTAGCCAATCTTACACGCATCTGGACGAGTTGGCATTTCCTTTTCACAGTTGGAGGCTGCCCGCCGCAACGCTATAACCGTTGGATCCTGCAACGATTTAGCGTCATCGGCCTTGCTCCACTCGTCCAATTCCAAAAGGAATGGCTTTAGAAAACACTTATTTTTGCCGTTTTCACGCTTTAAAAAGTGGATTTTCGGCATCAGCGTATTAAATAACCCCAGGTAAGCGCAAATTTGACTAGGTTGAAATTTGCTGAGCCACTGCCTTTTCATACCCCTGAGTTTGAATATTAAGTTGAAAATCCGTGAAAACCACGAAAAACCCCGTTTTCAGAACCCGCAGAGCGATTTCTTCGGTACGGTGATTGGTTGGGCGCGCATGGATGGGCGGGACGAACGTCACGCCCACTCCGAAAGGGGAGGAGCCAGCGTCGCGAACGCGGCCTGAAGCGATTTCCGAAGCAATTTTCTTGGTTCGGAAGCAACTTCAGGCAGCGCGAGTTGGGCAATCATACAGTTGGGGGCCCCACATCTGCTAGGTATCATAATCTCACCAACCCCAGTTTGGGTGGACGGTGCCTTTAATTTCCTCGAGTCGAACGGTAAGCGCAAAGCGATTCTTGTAAATTACGTATCGGGAGACGGCCCTTTTGAACCGTTAGCATTAGCAGCCTAATTACTGCACGCCTCTGATTGGTCGGCGCTGCCGCGGCGCTTGGGTAGGCGAGAGCTATGCTGTCAGGCATCTTCATGGTAAAAAGGTTTAAACAGATCTCAAGTTTCCCATGAAACTCAAACATCTTATGCATGGGCGGCTTGGGTAAATTCTTCAGCTTACACATGCAGACTTCATGGTGTTTTGAAAAGTGGGAGGGGCGAAGAAATCACGAAAGGCCAGCAAAAAACATGCATCTTTTCCAAATTTTTCTTCATAATTCAAACATCGTCACTATGGTTATTCGTGTGCCTCGCTTGCTTTGGAATGTTCAGAAATATCTGAAAACTTTGACAGCTTATAAGAAAGGCGGAGTAATTAGCGCTGCCCGGGCAGAGTACTTAGCGCTAGGACGATGCGGTTCAGAAGGGCATACACCCTTACGTATCCAGGAAGGTCTTAGTAGCACTGGCTATAGTACTGGTACTCTAGTACCGGCTCTAGGTCCTCTATCCCGCAAAACAGACGACACAATATGTAATACAAAGATACTCAATATATGAAGATGATTATGATCTTGTGATTGATCTGCTATAAAACAAACACGGAGATAAGCACAAACGCACAGTAGCAGCACGAGTACTGTTAGATTGATAGGCGAAAGTCACTTAAACCAAGAGCATATGCGTTACCTACATGTAGTCGTCGATTAAAAAAAACAAAAAAATATGTAAGAAACCGTGGCCATCTTAGTATTTAGCCAATGTTTGTACTTAAGACAGCGCTCGCTGACTGTGGAATTTGTTTTTTGACAAAACATGAGCAGAATTTATTCGGCTTGCACATCTTGGCACAGTGTAAATGGCTATCAAAATCTCGATTTTCCAAAAATTCAATACACTGCTCATATATACAACAATTAGACTGACTAGTTAGGTTTTTGGCAATATTCCTAAGCAAGAGCTGAAGGATCGTCACTATGCGGAGCGAACTGTACAAACAAGAAAATCATTCATGATTTGAGACTGAGGTATATTATGGCAAACGAATGCAGTACACGTAGTGAACATTTGGATTAGTACGAGTTTTTGCGCTCCATTCGAAAACTTTCGGTGGCTTCGCGTGAAGAGCGCAGCAATTCGCTTTCGCGGCTTATTCGCGAGCTGCGGCCTGGTGTCGGCAATGGTGTTCTTGAAGAAGCTGAAACAGAGTATAAACATGTGAGATTCATCTAAATTGAAGGCGTTCATACTGGTCATTTGCCGACGCTGTCTTTCCAATCTTTCCCTTTGTTTCGGATCTACGTACATCTTTTCAAAATTGCGCCTGCGCTTGTACGTCACAACCCCAGACCTGAAGTGTTCATGGTAAAATCCCGAAATTTATAAATCAAATACTCACGTGTCAAATTTTGGGTTGTTTTTGTAATCGATAAACACTAGAACAGAGCAGGTGCCAAGAATGCCTACCAGAATTCCTACAACGATCAAAAGAATAATCAAATAGACGGGAAGCGGTTCTTCCAAAGAGACCGATGTGGCGCTCTGAAAAGATGAGGTAGAACAATCACAAGAGAACGACAATTGACTTGACATACATTCAGCTGCTGCAGATTCTGAGGTAAGAGGTCAGTAAGGTCTTCTGAGAAAATTGATCCGTCATCAGCATCTACTCTTTTGAGGAAGTAATTGTTGTTGAGGATGTTCTCCTAAAAATTAATAAATTCGTGTCTTTTCGTTATTGAATCACAAATTTTATTTTGTAAACATCAAAAATCCATCAATTTTTCGTTGACTGACGCCGTAAAAGAGTTCAAAGGCATAGCTGACATTGAGTCCGCTTGAAGCATACTAATTTCCTGCTCTGAAGGAGTAAAGAGCAATTTAAACCATTTACCTCACAGCAGCCCATTTGTTGCCCCTGAGGCGTTACAAAGGCAAGAAAATGGCTTGGAAAAGACGCGTTAAAGGCAGCGCAGAAGCGTGAGAGGCATGCAACGCGACCGCATCGTTGGAAACTTCTGCGGAATATAGACTACTAGCTGGCAAACCCGGCTCCGCCGGGCCCTGTCATTATTATATTCGCAATCAGCATGCTCGATTACCCCCCTGTGCCAACTCCCAGCCCCGCAGCTCAAATTTTGCAAAAAATCGATAAAATCGATATCGATCGATAACGAAAAGTAGCCTATGACACGCTCCCTGCCCCGAAGTATATGTGTGCCAAGTTTGGTCCAAATCGGTTCAGAAATAAAAATTTCTATTCCGCACATACGTACAGACAGACATACAGACATACCCTCGATATCATCCCATATGTCTTCCCTCAACATGACGTGGATTACGTGGCTTGATGAGGCGCCGCCTCGGCCTCGCGCCACGTCGCGAGCGCATCATTTGGCGCGACGTGGCGCTCAACACAACGTGGCGCAGGCTTTTACACGTTCCTCTTGTTGCCACTTCACGCCGAAGATGCGCACGCAACGTGGCGCAAGCCCGAGGCGAGGCGGCGCCTCATCAAGCCACGTAATCCACGTCATGTTGAGGGAAGACATATGAGGTGATATCGAGGGTACATACAGACAGACATTCAGCTTTATATATAAGATATATATAGTAACAAATTCATGTCTGATGCACAACCACGTATCTTTCCAACCATGGCGAACCGAGACCCCCCCCCCCCTCCCCTTCCTCCTCTCCCCGAAAATGAGTCGCGGAATTTCGGTTACTTGATGAGTTATAAAAATGTGCAAATTCCCCCCCCCCCCCCCCCCGGATGGAAAGGGACCGCCATTGTTAAATATTCCCTTAATTGAAACTTTGACTGTGATTCTTTGCTGCGAATACTCTTTCATCCTCTTTATTTCAAAACAGAACAGAGTAGCCTTTGATTCAACCGGCTTGGCGGATGGAAGGCAGGGCTTTGTGGCTAATTAAGGCTGCTCGCGCCCGCGACGCAGTTTGCGTCTCTGTCCTGCATGTGCTCTCTGATCATTATCTAGCCTTAAGTAGTTCAGGAAGCTTCCAGCCGCCAAGCCAGTTGAATCAAAGGGTACTTGCAAGCTACTTGTATTAGGTTGGTCCGAAAGTTCTGTCCCACCATTTTCAAAAAATCGTAACTTCTTCCTAACACAATGTTTCTGCAAGAGTAAAACCATATTAGAAAGAGGAATTCATGTACTTTTTGAAACTGAGTTGGACGCTATTCATTAAGTTCTGAATGCAGAGGTAAAATTGGGGAAAGGAATTCATTTCAATTTCGGAATTTTTAAGCAAGCCCGTTAAAGAATCCAAAAGTGTGCCATAAAATCCAAAACAGCCACTATCCTAGGTTTTTTCATACCCTCTTTCCAGCTGAGCAAAATTTGCGCTAATTGAGCTCTTTTGAAAGAAGTTATGATTTTCAAGAAAAAATGCCAAAAAATCAGTTTCTTAAGAAAATTGATTTTTTGACATTTTTTTCAAAAAATCATAACTTTCCGAAAAACAGCTCGATCAACGAGAGCTTTGCTCAGCCAGAAAGAGGAAATGAAATAGTCTAGGATAGTGGCTGTTTTGGATTTTACGGCACTGTTTTGGATTTTTCAACGGGCTTGCTTAAAAATTCCGAAATTGAAATAAATTCCGTTCCCGAATTTTATCTCTGCATTTAGAACCTATTGAATAGCGACCAACACAGTTTCAGAAAGTACATGAATTGCTCTTTCTAATGTGGTTTTAATCTTGCAAAAACATTGCGTCAGAAAGAAGTTACGATTTTTTGAAAATGGTGGGACAGAACTTTCGGACCAACCTAATATTAGGTTGTTGCAAAAGTTCTGTCGTTTCATTTTCAAAAATTTGTAACTCCGCGAAATTTCAACGGATTTGCTTGCTTGTAATTTTATTAGAAAGAATAAGTCTTTCGCTTTCAAATGCTGTTCCGTGGAGCTTCTGTTTCATACTGGGTGCGGAGATAAAAATAGAAAACTAAGACCATATAAGCTTTGACCATTTTAAGTTAGGTCACCAAAAATCTGGAATGCTGCAGAAAAATCTGAAATCGTCAGTACATATGTTTTTCGGCCTACCCTTTGCATCTGTGAAAAGTTTGCGCTGTTTGGACGTCTCTGTGAGAAGTTATGAATATCGAGTTTACTATGGAAAACGCCAAAATTAATTAATTTGTCAAATTTCACGAAAATCATAACTTCTCACAGAGACGTCCAAACAGTACTCTTCACAGATTCAAAGGGTAGGCCGAAAAACATATGTACTGACGATTTTAGATTTTTCTGCAGCATTCTAGATTTTTGGTGACCTAACTTAAAATGGTCAAAGCTTATATAGTCTTAGTTTTCTATTTTTATCTCCGCACCCAGTATGAAACAGAAGCTCCACGGAACAGCATTTGAAAGCGAAAGACTTATTCTTTCGAATAAAATTACAAGCAAACAAATCCGTTGAAATTTCGCGGAGTTACAAATTTTTGAAAATGAAACGACAGAACTTTTGCAACAACCTAATAAATTATGAGGAGCCCCTCTTCTTTATGAGCAGCTTTGATCACTACGCCACTCTAAAATAAGTTCGTCGAGGGGTAAAACCTCTAACTTTTGCACTTCTATTTCATTTTAAAAGAAACAGTAAATATTGGATTGATGTTAGCTTCGGACAGCGATGCAACCTTTCAAACGTCTGCAGTCAATACCTATGAAAAGAAAAATATTAGGTTGGTCCGAAAGTTCTTTCCTTTTTTTTCAACATATCATAAAAACACGTGGAATAAAGATAGGGAAACGTTTCAGGCACTGTCCGACGCAGCTTTTCTTCCTCTTTTCAACTGTCATACTACTGTACCGCTTGCTGTTGTGGTTAGTGAGATAATGGCCGAAATTTCGGACCTATGGTTTTTACCACGTCCAACTTTCGCAATTTTTCACTATCTTCTTTCTTAACTTTTGGAGAAGCTATGATAACAGTCAGATAGAGTGAACAAAGTACAATGCAATGGAATTTTTTGGCAACTTCAGCCGGCTTCTCATTATTTTTTTCGATAACTTATTCAGAAGTTTTCACTTTTTCGAAGTCACAAAACACGCAAACGCTCTAAACATCGACAAATCTTCGTTTTCGAAATTTTCAAAAGTCGTTTATGATTGTCACTATTTTTACAAAGTAACTGAGCGTTTACCGCTTCGAAATATAAGATTTTGCATTGCACGTATACATCATGAGGCGGGTTCAAAATCAAGATTTATGGAAATTTTATCACCAAAGACCCCACAAACTAATAAGAGAAAGTACTCATCAGAAAGAGGAGAAAAAGCTGCATCGAATGACACCTTAGTTATGCGCCGTTTTATGTTCTATGGCTTTTGGCATCCCCAAAAGTGGACTTTGATAGCATCAAAAAAATAATTCTAAAAATCCTTATGTGCAGTTGTTAAGCCTTGACCAAGATTGTTACAACTCTTTTATTAGGCTTACGTTTCGGCTGATTCGCCTTCTTCAGAGCCTAAAAAGTGAGCAGTAAATGAAATCTACCCTCCAGTTGTCTTATCGTCACAGGAAAAGGGAAAGTTGTGAATGCCTATAGACAGCTCACCTTAAACCTGCCGAGTGAGGACTGCAGACCACCACTGACATGCGTTGAGTGACTAATGAGCTACGGCACCTGGGTATGAGGGTGTTGATCAAACCCGCATAACTCCAGGAACGGCGCGAGTTCGTTTGTGATGGCGATGCATTCCTCTTTCCTATTCATTTTTGGATTCCTAGCGGAAATCCAGCAGGCTTCTAATGTTTTCCGCGCCGCCACTTCTGATTCTCGCGACAGAATTGATATAGAGATATCAAATTCTGCGTTTTGATGGCGCTGCTTACGGTGCGTGCCTAGGGGCGTGGATAATCTCGATCTACGCATCCCGTCCATGTGTTCTTTGATTCTCAGACATAGTGGCCTACCCGTCTCGCCAATGTACTCCTCGCCACATGATTTACAAGTCAAGAGATAGATCACACCTGCGCACATACAGTCCCCTTGTTTATTGGTAGAGCATATAACGCAATCTGTTGTTGTGCAGGTCTTATCGTATGCTCTATTTCTTACTAAGCGCCACTTTAGGTTTTGGGGAGGCAATTCGACAACTCGCAACAAATCCTGCAGGCCTGCCTTTCGCACACACGTCCTAATTGCGCTGCTCAGCCTGTCCGAGATGGCAAGGCTTAACAACTGCACATAAGGATTCATCACCATGCCAAGATTCATTCAAAGCCGAACATGGGATATTATGAATTCTAAAAATGTTTTGAGGCTAGCTATAGATGCCGAAAAATTGCATAAAATTGCACTTTGTTTACTCTATCTGATTGCTGTCAAAGCTTTTCCAAAAGTCAAAAAAGAAGATAGTGAAAAATTGCCAAAGCTGGACATGGTAAAAACCATGGGTTCGAAATTTCGGCCATTATCTCACTGATCATAAGAGCAAGCCGCACAGGAGTATGACATTTGAAAAGAGAAAGAAAAGGTGCGTCGGACAGTGCCTGAATCGTTTCCCTATCTTCATTCCACGTATTTTTGTGATAAGTTGAAAAAACGGAAAGAACTTTCGGAACGACCTAATAGTAATAGGAATAAAGGATGATAAAGACTGTTTTTAGAAAGTTGTTCAACTGCATCACTGGTACCTGGCTTACGCCGACAATATATTTCGATAAATTGTGGATACATGTTACGTTGATGTCAAGAAATGTTCTAGACAAATATCCCTTTTTCTTCGTCTCTGCTCCCTCCCCCCACTCTTCGAAAAAAAAAGTCGTTAACGAAGAATTCTAAACTTCTTTTGACAAGAATTTCCTATAACATACATACGCTCAATTATAGACAAGGATAATTGTAACTGACCTTTACTCGAGGGTCCGCGTTAGCAGGCATGCTCTCGATGACTTTCTCAGTCAATCTGGGTGAGTTTCCTCGAGGTGCAAACACATTATTGCCGTACTTTTTCACCGGCTTCAAGTTCTTACTCAGGTCCTCTTCTTGTAGTGTTGATAAGGACACTTTGAACACTTGAAAGCATCCTGAAAAAAGCATCCTTTCGAAACAAGCAATGTTGACAAGTACAAAAACACTGAGTACTTTTAAGTTGCTGATTTAAAAAGCATTAAAAAGAGTCACACTTACTTGTGCTGTTCTTCTCGCAGCCGGTTAGAGGCGAAGCTGAGATGTTCCATGTAAAGAGTACTAGAAAAGCGTGTTTTAGTAGCAGTTTTGCAAAAGAAATCAAAGCTACACCCTCCATTACTTATTTCTTCATTTCTTTCCTAACGAAAGCAGAATTTGCTTGACTTTCCGGACGAAAAATCCTTAATCAAGCTGGATTTGCCAAGCTTTGAATGAATTCAATTCACAAAGCTCTAGAACCAGAAATTTCGTTATATGTTTGAGAGAAAGAAGGTTTAGTTACTAATTTTTCTTCTATTTCAGCCATGCTAGACTTATCAGGCTGATTTCACCAAGTATATATTGTAGGTCATTTATAAAGAACTATTGGAAATGCGCCCATCAAACATCTTAGGGTACAAGATCTTAAGCACTCAATCAAATAAATAATCAAACCATGCCCGATGAGTTTGCCTAACCACCAAATGCTTTGGGGCTCCTAGCCGAAAAAAAAGTTAGAAAGGATGAATGTATAGTAATGACCGCAATGAATACTTCATTATCTGTGAATGACCTATAAATTACTTGCAGTCAGAATATAGTCTTCAAATTTAAATGAAGACTGGCCGAGCTAGACTAATATTTTCGTGGGTATCGCCCTATCCATATTTTTGAATAAACGATGAGTAGAATGATTAGGACTATTGGGATTAATTATTCACACCGATTTTCTCTGTTCGCGTAAAATGCTCGCTAAGTATTTTGACGGATTTGATTATCTCGCAACCTTTTCGGGATACTTTCATTTTAGACCCTTAATTTACTATCAGTTTCATAACAACATGCTTTTACCTTTCTAAAGCTCCTAGTGTTTTTGCAGAATTGCCATTTGAAGAGCCGTTTGCAAAAAATCGAAAATGTGAGCAAAAATTTCCCAATCAGCAAGTTATCAAATCATATCTACTAAAACTTCGTTTCAAAGTCATATTCCATGAACAAATAGTGTGTTTAGAACCTGAGATGAAAATCGTTTGCAAAAAAGTTCAATCAAGACTGTTCTTCTAGGATTCAAAAAAAACTGATCATTGCTTCTCTTTCTTCAACACAAGCAAGCATAGGAGTAAAAGCAGGTTCTTTCCGTGACACAAAATCTGCGATTAGAAAATTCGGGGCGGCCTATTATTGTAGTATTTTCATAGCTTTGAGGACTTTACAGGAATACAGTTATTCCCAAAGGCAGTTAGGGTAAGTATAATGACATCATCAAATAAAGAGTCCGCCTTTTTTTCCCACTTACCAGAAGTAGAGGAGAATGTAAAGTTCTAATCTGCAGTGCCTTGACGGTTTTCTTACATCTTCACGAAAACGTAGTCATTCTTGATGAGCGAGATGGAAAATTGAAAAGAAAAAGTGTTGTGAATGATTCATCACTTTCTGCGCGTTCAAGCAATGCTTTTTTGCCGGGGGATTTCCACTTTGTGAGATTCGAGTGTGACCAATAATGCTATGAATAGAACTGTCGCCGAAAAGAGCAAATTCATCAATGCTGGGATGATTATTGATTGTGAAATAGTTGTAAACTACATTTATTATTGATTTTCAGCGCGCAAATAAGTCCTTTTTCCACTCTTCAAATAATTTTTTTTGTAAATGGTTGTGAACTTGGTTGAGAATTTGAAGCTTATATCCATGGTGTGTAGGAGTAAATCAGCGAAATATAGTCAGTAGATCAAGAAATTGTCATAGTGATCTTACAGCCGACAAGCTTGTGCGTAAAAATTGGTCATGGGTCACTGAATTGTTTACGCGCAAATGTTGTAGGCAGTGCAGACGCACTCTACCAGTCAACTTTACCAAGCTATGTGGGAACCCCTTTCCAATAATTTTTTCGAAATTTCTCTGTGTTTGACTGATCTCTACCTATTCTTTATACGTGAACCAAAGCAACATGTCACAGAATATTTGACTTGGTTTCCTTCAAAAACCAATTAAGATGGTAGTGATAAATTAGGAGAGGTCACATGATTGCACACTCTGGTAACAGAAAGTATTAATAACCGGAAGATGATGCCTGTTCTCAACCAATAAACAATTCTGTGCGACCGCAAGCAAATGATGCTGTAATGCCGAAGTAATCATGTTTCCCTAAGTTGCTGACTTGACTGGATTAGAGAATGAAGAAAGTTAGTACAACCCATAGCTTTGAAGTTTTCAAGAATACTAATGGCATTCCAATGAGAGCTCAGAATTGCTCAGAGCTCAAAAAATAAATTAACAGCGTAAGCGCGAAATCCAAGAAGAGACCGCCGACACTTCCAAAAAAAAAAACTTTTGGAGAGTGATCAGCACATATTTTCAGATAGTCTCTCGATCAATGACGTCATTAGAAAGCAATAGAAGCATACTACTTCATTCTGCATACACTTCATGTTTTTTATTGCAAAATTATCAAACAAATCAGGGTAGAGCAGGCTACCACCAAGAATAGACGCAAATTTTTGCGGAAGATGTGGATCGAAGGTTTCGAGAAAGAGTTTCAGAAATCAGTATTGAAAAAACTTTTTAATAACGATGTTTCAGCACCATTGCTTATTGTCTATTAACGCACTTAAATTTCATCTGACATCTTTTTGTAAAATGCCGCGTGCTTGCAGGCAATACAAAATTATGGCGATGGGGTAGAGTGGCCACATTATTTTATACTTGAAAAACCACAGTAGTACTACGCTGTTGCTCCAAAAGTTCTTTGAATAGATTGGATTGCCTTCTTTTCCTAGCAGACATAGGGCCCTGTTCCAAAGAGCAAAGAGCTCTACGAAATGGTCACCTAGGATCCACTAAGTCGTAATCCAGGTATCGAGAAAAAAAAACACCTAAATTATGGATTTTTCCCAAAAAATTTCTCATAAATACAACTACCGAATATTTTCGCCCATACAAATCGAGAATGGCAAACTCTGCCCTCAACATTTCCCGCGATTAGTATATTCTATTTTATACTGCAAACCCTAGCAAGTGTAATCTCAAAAATCTTATCTCTGCATGTGCTTTTTTAGTCGAGAATACCAATTTTTACATTTGAGAGAACCCCCTTAAAATGTGGTATTGTTGAGCTGATTTTTTCTTGATTTTGAATCGTAAGCAAAAGTATTTAAGAATACTACTATGTATCTAATTTATGATAACCAAGTTGGAGGTTTGTAGGAATTTTCTGGAAGGAGACCCGGTAGTTGAAGAGTTTTAGTTTATAGCTCCAAATTTTACTTGGATTATGACTCAGGTGAATCTTTGGTGGCAATTAGTATAGCTTACTTTACTCTATCGAAGATTACTTCAAGTCTGCTAGGGAAGCGAAAACAATTTGATTTATCAAATAAAGAGTTTCGGGACAACCTACTGTTGAGTGAGCAACTTGCAGCAAAAATTACAAATTTCATTTCCAGTCTGTCTACTTACTTTAACAGCAGTAATCCAAAGCTATAAGAGAAAATTTGAATTCCTGCAAGTCTATTACCGCTCCAACACCCAATCGTCTAAAGTTTCACCAAAAGAGCATGAACAGGGCATGCTTGTCACCGAACGACATCGTTGAGCGAAGTTTTTGGTAACGACGCAAACTTCGATGATAATGATGCAAGTGAATTGCGGTTTGGGAAAGACTTTTCGAGAAGACGTCGAGAAGGTAGTTATGTTGTTCAATTCAAAGTATGTGCATGAATCTTTGAAAACAACTAGTTTTTTGTTCAATTTTTTTTCAAAAACCCTTATCATTTTTTTGCTTGGGGTAAAGATGGGAGTGACTTTTAACGCTGGCATGGAAGAGAGGGAAGCGGTTCGGACAGAAATTATGCAGCGTAGACTCGTTTGTAAATAATATGTTTAGTGCACACCATGCGCGTCATTTGACGACATGTAGGGTTAAAGTTTGCTCTTTTCCAGCGATTTTTCCTTGTTTTCTTGCCTCTTTTGAGTTGATTAGATATGTATTAGTTACACTTTCCAACAGTTTGTTACGCTAGGTAAGGCTTTACTAAGGTTTTACGAGTAAAGATGTTGTGATGTCGTCGGTTGCGGCGCATAGTGTGCGAATACACATGTTAAGATATAAACTATGCATAGTGACCCGAAAATAAATCAACTTATTTGTGAATAGACGAGTATTCATAAATTCCAGATATATACTTTACTGATGCCTCTGAGCCTTGCGAAATTTTGAGTACACAAGCTTGCAAAATTTTGAAAAACATCCAGAAAATGTAAAAGTGTTGCTATCACCACATCCCTTTATTTACAAGGTTCCATTCCCTCCTCTCTCAAGAAATTCTGGAACCGCAGCTGTAACCCCATTTATTTTTAAAAGTAACCAATACGACATTTTAAGAAGGAAACAAAGACCTTAAATTTGATAATAGACGTTTTCCCAAAGGCTGTCGACATCTCTAAAATGTTTGATTTGTAACCTGTAATTAAAAGTTTGCAAAAACACTCAAAAGACTTTGCCGAAGTGATATATGGTCAAAGGACAACTATATAAACGCGTCAGTCATCCGCAGAATTCTAGAAATTCCCCCTTTATTACCACATTCGACAAAATTCGCCGATAACGAGAGACATTTGCAAGAAAGCGAAACGTACATTGTAGAAGAAGTGAAAGCATTTGCCAGTGCATTTTCACTGCTATGACCATGCCATTTTACGTTGTGAGGAATGTTCTGGAAAAAACGGCTAAAATGAGTGTGTGTGATTAAAATGGCGTGTACCGGTCGTGCTTCGATACTCTTTTACACACACACGCACAAACGGACTCGACCGTCACCGACAACGAGTCGTCGACATCGGCGACGAATCGATCAGTGTCTGATAAGGAAATCAGCAAGCGCAAAGTCGTGGATGAGAAAAGGAAATGAAAACACAGGAAAAGAATGGGTTTATTTGCTTGAGAAATAGTTGAATAGGGGTTACTGTAGCTTTTACAAACTGCCTCGAGACTGATACATAAGTCTTGCAAAAAAATTTGGAAAATTGTCACTCCCAACTTCCAAGAAATTATTTATTAAGGAATAATAGATAGAGAAGATCTTGAACTTCTCAAAATATTTGAAGCGAAATATATTAGTGCTGTATCTTAATTATACGAGCTGATAAATAAAAGCACTCAAACAGTGGTTTTCTCAAATTCCACACACTAAAACTAGACTACTAAACTCTCATTTCAATTTAGCCTCTGCTTTTACAATCTGCATTTTCTGCCTGAAAGAAACTCGCGCTGATTGATCGTTCCGAATAGCTATGATCTACAGATTTTCTGAGTTCAATTTTTGCTTCAAATTCGAGAAAATCTAATAATTTGAATAAAATACAGCTGTTTGGGGGTGGAGGACTGCATGCCGCCCGGAAGGTGGTCCTACGCGGACATCTGTGACAGAACTCGCAGCTCCTCACATTACAAGCATACAGAATTTGTACCAGCTGAAGGTGGAGGGTGGAGCCTATGGCGACATATAGTAAAATAAATAATTTTTACAAAAGCGAACAAAATGAAAATTTCTCAAGCAAAATTTTCATATTGTTTGCTGCAAGACTTATGTATAATTCTGTAATAGCATCCCGCAACTAGCCCGTAAAAAGCATATCTCATTTATTTTTTGATTTAGAGGTAAGAAGTGTCAAATTCTTTTGCGAAGCTAGTAAATGGAATGAATTCAAACAAAATTTATGCGCACAAAATTGACCTACTTAATTGAATTCCTTTTGAAAGCCACATTATACCATTAATTACGTTCATCAATGGATGTGAACGAGACGAAATTTGGGAAAAAGTCGTAGGGCGAGTTTGCTCTGACAAAACACCTCGAAACGGTCTATTAGCACGCAAAGCCCTCAAGCACTTCTGAGGGGGTTGGAAGTGGGATTAACAAGGTGGTAGACGAGGTTGTGATGTTTACATGGGCGAAGAGATCTTTCTCTTGCCGGAAAGTGCAGGAAAAAATTGGAAGGGAAGTGGCAAATGCGCTAGATCTAGCGTTGAAACTTGAAATGATATGGATGAGAAAGAGCGAGACGGAAACGAAAAAAATAGCAGTGTTTGGAAATGGCAGAAGAAAATTTGGCCGTTTGCTCTTTCAGACATTCTCTTGCTATCGGTATAATAATAGCTAGGACTATGTGAACTGATAGTAGATAAGCATCCGAAGTGAGTCAGACCCAGCCGAGCCAGAATCATCTGCAGCGGAGACAGGGGAGCCAGCGAAAACGCATAGTGGAAGTTTTATATGATGATAAACATAAATAAATGATAGCTAAAGAGAGAAATGTGCTGCCATGTGTTGGCGGCTGCGAAAACAATCAGCAAAACTAGTTGAGAGAATGGGGAGGAGTCAGCAAGGTCAAATCACAAATCGCGTATCAAGTTCGCTGGCTTGCAGCCAAAAATCACTAATTTTAGTTATTCTAGCTCTCTCAGTCCCATTGAAATGCGATCAAAGACCAGTCCTTTTGGGAACCGACTCGTAATATGAGCTCGATTGTTACAGTTTTATCTCGAATACTGGCGCACCAAGAATCAACCGGAAGGCACACGCACACTGTAAAAACCGAATAGTGATTATTGGGTTAGGTGAGCGCATCACTTCTGGTCATCAATCAACTCATCTCTCATTGCGCATACACCTATTCATCTTTCTATCCTTATCTTTCCGTCAAACGTACATACGCGCCGAATTAGAGGCTGTCTTAAACAAAATGAAGGCTAGGCGTAATAGCCCCCGCAGATTTTTGCAAGCGTGTGAACGAGTTTTGTGTCTGATCAGCAGATATTAGTTTGTCCAGAAATTGACGCAGATTTCTTACGCATTCGCTGCAGCAGTCGCAAAAAGTTTGATCACTCGAAGTTTAGAAGAAAGCTTAGAATTTTTGAGCGCCAAAATCGGATTTTCGTCCAAAAATAATCATACAAACTTTCAACTTGCTCCAAAAACTTACTTATTATAGCATCTACTCACATGTACAATTTCGGTATTTCTCCATGATAAGAAGTTGAGGAAAAGAAAGTTGGTATGCTTTAGAAAAACCAATGTTAGCGTGTTCCAAGTGGGTATTTCTGTACTAATGACTTTTGATGGCATGAAAATAAACCAGCCTTTTCCAAGGGCTAGTTGTCGAGCAATATCAAATTTAACATTTCAAAAAAAAAAAGAACCGAAAAAGCGAGATTTTCGTGCTTTTGCCTGATTTTATTTCAATTCCAGCCGAGAAAAAAATTCGGCAAGTACACATATGGGTTCGATGTGGATAGCAGATTCGTGACCGAGTTAGGGATTCGCGAAATTTTTTCACACAGTTTGATTTTTGAGTACTTAAAGCTCTGTAGATATTTCTTCCATCTATCCGTGTATCAAACCTTCTGCAATTGTTTCAAGGTCATTCAGTAGAATTTGCTTTGCTCTATCGAATGATATGTTTCCCGCATTTTTATATCTACACTGCTGCGAAAGGAACCTGCATTAATTTAACGACAACCTAATAGATGCTAGCTGGGTGCCCACTTCTATTTGCCAATCTTCTATTTCCGCTGTTTTAGTAATCAGAAAGCTCACTGACCTCCCCCCCCCCCCCGTGCCAACTTCCAGCCTCGTAGCTTTGCAAAAATTCGATAAATTCGATAAAAGTATAGGATAATTTGGAATATCGTACTCGTAGTCAGCATGCTCGATTACTACCCCAACTCCCAGCCCTACAGGTCATACTTTACAAAAAAGTCGACAAAAATTCGATGAAATCGATATCGATCGAAATTGCCTACGACACCCGCCCCGCCCTGAAGTTTACGCGTGCCAAGTTTGGTCTGGATCGGTTTAAAAATGGATTTTTGTATTCGGAACAATTACACTTGGTTAGTTAAGTTAAGGCACATACATAGTACATACATGCCAGTGGCGGACCGAAGAGGGGAGCGGGGGGGGGGCGCCCCCCCCCCTCGCGAAATTTTTGAAATTTACTTACATGGGTTATTAAAATGTGCAAGTGACTTGTTCATTCTTGAAATAAATTAAATAATTTTTAAAACTTTTTAAAAAGTAGCCTTGTAAAAAAGTTTTTGCGGAAGCGTGACTGACGTTACGCTCCCTTTTTCAAGATTTTAGTTATGGACCCGCAAAAATTTTGAAAAGCACCCCAAAAATTTTTTCGGAGTGAATGGCTAACGCCACGCACCTTCATTTGAAAAAAATTTTTGCCGCGCCTCCACCTATCCCCCGGTCCGACGTGGGACCGCCACTGCACATACGACAGTCAGGCAGACAAACAAACTTTCAGCTTTGTATATAGGATCATGCAGTGGCAGTCCAAAAAACTTTTCCGAAGGGGGATGGGCGATGACAAAGTTTCCCAGGCGAACAGTCGCGACGTTACACGTTGTTCAGAAAAGCAGCTTAGATGTTTCGTATGGGCTTCCAGAATGCAAGAAAATCAACACCTATTGTAACTTTCAGGCCTCAACATTAGCAGACTTTTTCATGCTGATGCGATCTTGTGCAAATGTGAAGACGAATAACTTTTTGTGGTGGAGGAGTAAAACCCGATTCTATCATGATATCACAAGCACTGAATCCTTATATCCTCACTATATGTCACAGAACAAATCGAATATATGCGCATGTTAGGCTGTAAACGATCTCAACTTCTAAAAAGCCTTTAGAACAACACATGAAATAAAAATGTACAGTTTCTCTTCAGTCAGAAGTTTTAACTTTAATCTATTCTGGAGGCCACTCCAGAACAGTGGCATGAGACAGCGTGTATCCACAAGGTATGCGCGCTGCTGGAGACAAAGACACACGCAGAGAGCAGACTGAGCAGAATTTATTAGGTTGGAAATTAAGTTTTGCAACTGGTCTCATAACTTCCCTCTCACTCAACATGGCGCACTCAAATTTTGCCACTGCGTTGGCTATTATGTAAGCTACAAGTGCAGCTGCTGTCCTGCCAAATTCCGACGTCGCAGTGAGGGTTACGGTAGGTGCATGCTATGAAGGGGAAAAATTCAAAGGTTGACGGATTTGGCTGAAACTTGGCATAGGGGTGTTATTCGACATGCTGACCACGAAAACGATAGTGAAATTGCGTGATAAGGGCTTTTTTGTAGGATTACTGTAGGTGCACGATATGGGGTCTCACCCTAAACAAAGAAAAAGGCGTTGATTCAACAAATGAATGTGATATTCGCGTTTGGCAGGTCAAATAACCTTACTATGTAAAGTCTCGGCGGAATTTGAGCTTCGGACTCTTTAGTCATTGACGGTCGTCCCCAGCAGCTCTTGCGTACATCGACTCGTTCGACTTTATGAGGACGCCGAATCTCGATATGCCCCTAAATTTTGTTTCTTTCTCAATAGACCAAAGGAGACAACCTTCAGCAATAATTTATAGACGAATCCGGGTTACTGCGCGTGGTCTAGGCTGTCAAAGGCTTCATTTTCAAAGGCTTTTTTTGACAAACTCGTAATCCTATAATACTGTCCCGGTTATACAAAGCTTATGTTATTCCACATCTTGAATACTGTTTGCAAGTTTGGACTCCTTCCCGAAAAAAAGATATAATGAAGATTGAAAGAGTTCAGCACACTTTTACCCGCCTGGTCTTTCGTCGTGCGGGTGGTGGAACACTAGTTGATATTCCAGACTGTCACCTACGCTCTAATAAATTGGGCTTGACTCCTCTCAGAATTAGACGCATGGTATCCGACCTCGTCTTTTGTTTTCGTATTCTTCGCATGGAAATAAAATTAAAAGCAAGCAAATTTTGGATCTTCAA